TTCCCCATTTTTACCCATTACTTCCCATAATTTCCCCATTATTTCCCATTATTACTCACTATTTCTCATTATTTCTCCCTTATTTCCCACTATTTCCCCATTATTTCCCATTTCCCCCCACGATTACCCACAATTTCTCATTATTTTCCCACATTTCCCCATTATTTCCCCTTATTACCCACTATTTCTCATTATTTCTCCCTCATTTCCCATCATTTTCCACTATTTCCCCATTTTCCCCCATTATTTCCCACTATTTCCCCATTACTTCCCATTTCCCCCCATTATTACCCATTATTACCCACTATTTCCCCACATTTCCCCTCCTCTCCACGCAGCCGCATGGGATTTTCCACTGTCTCCCCCCTGCCCCGGGGCAGAGCAGGCACTGCCCTTCCTTTTCTCACCCAACCCATTGGGCAAAGAGCCCAGAGCAGCTCCGTGGTGCCATGCACACCGATGCACACAGACTTCCTGCCCTTTGTATGCTTCAGTTGGCATTTTCCAGCTCGGCTGCCTCCCCACACTCCTCCCAATCCCACACCGTGCATGGGAGCGTTACCCGCAGATTTCTCCTTTTTTTTTTTCTGGTAAGGAAATGGAACTCAATCCAACTTCACCCAGGAAATGAGCCCCGTGCTTTCAAGCAGACCCTACAGCTCTGGAACCAGCCTCCATGGGCTGCAACAGGAGCTGGTGCAGCTCAATGGGTTCCTTGTGCTCCCTTCTGCAAAGCTGAGCGTTGGCCAAGGATGGGCTTCTTCATGGCCACAGGATGAGGGCTGTGTTACAGAGCTCCAGAGAGGTTCCCTTTGGGGCTCAGGGGTCATCCCAGAGCTCTGCGTGCTCCTGGATGGCCCAACCCCCAAAACCAACCCCATGCCCAACACCATCACCATGCCCAAAACCAACCTCATACCCAATACTGTCACCATGCCCAACACCATCACCATGCCCAAAGCCAACCTCATACCCAGCACCACCACCATAACCAAAACCATCACCATGCCCAGCACCATCATCATACCCAACACCATCACTGTGCCCAATGCCAACTCCATGCCCAGCGCCAACCTCATGTCTGCAGCCCTTTGGAAGAAGAGGAGTCGGGTTTGGGTTGAGCTGAGCCCCCAGCCCTCATGCATCTGAGTGAGGAGAGCTGTTTTATAGGGTTGATTCAGGAATAGGACACACCTCTGTGTTTCTTTGGGTTCTCCACGGAACGCTCAGCGCTGCGGCGGAGAGAAATCCTGGCTGCGTGCTCCCTCCTCTGTCCGTAGGGCGTAGCAGCAACTGGAGCACAGCTGAGCCCTTCTGGGGGGGGGGGGAAGGGATGCTCGGCGGGGACACAACGGGATGCAACAGGGATGTAGTGGGGATGCAGCTGGGATGTGCTAGGGAGCAGTAGGGATGCGGCAGGGATGCATTGGGGATGCAGTAGGGCTGTAGGGGGAATGGAAAGAGGGGATGGAAAGAGGATACAGCAGGGATGCAGAAGAGATGAAGCAGGGATGCAGCAAGGATGTGATGGGGATGCAGATGATGGGTTGGAATGGGGATGCAGAAGGGATGCAGCAAGGATATGGTAGGGATGGACTGGGAATGCAGCAGGGATGCAGTAGGGGTGCAGCAGAGATGCAACAGAGACACAGCAGGGATGAAGTAGGGAAGCACACAGACCAGTTAGCAACAGCCAGCCTTAAAAACAGGAACAACTTAAAGGTCAACCAAAGATTTCAGGTCACATTCTTCAAACTGGCTTCAGCAGTTTCCTTCAGCTCTGGCAGCCACACAATATGGCATCAGCAAATATTTACCACCAACCTCAGCCACGGACTGCGCCGGGCTTATCTCACTATAGTCACACCTCAATGCCATGTTTTATTCCCATTAATACTCCATCATAGTGCTAATTAACAGGGCTGCACTGCCAGCTGGCAGCTGGTGCGTGTTTCCCTTCCCATTGCTTACAACGCTCCTGCTTGGTTCCATGCACAACACCGTGGGCTTTAGATGTGTAAAATATCAAATGTTCATCGTATTTTGTTGCATTGCTGTTCTGTATTATCCGTGGTTGCCTTGGCATCCTCCAGTCCAAAAAGCCAATCTCAGCCTGTTGGGAAATGGGCAGACCCAACTACGCACAAGCTGACCCCAAGATAAGGGGTAGAAAACCAAGCACATGGGAACATATTTTCCTGCTGTGCTGCCCTATGGGATAAAAAAGGGATTCTTACCTGTTTTCTGCAGGGTGCATCACCTTGGATTGGCGTCGGGTTGCTCAACAGGGACATCCTGCCCTACACCTTTCCCATGCCCATCCCATCGCCTTGGCCACGGCAGACTCCATCCCTGGCATCACATCCACAGATCCTGAATGGATCTTGGCCCACATCCTTACCTATAGGAAATCCCAACTCTGTTTGCTCCCACGGGTCAAATTACCCAAACCCATCCCATGATGAAGATGGCGTTGTTGGTGGGGCAGCCAACAGCATGCCCCATCGGCACCCAAAAGGTGCTGCAACGATGCTGAGCTGCCCAGTGCCCTACACCCACCTCCACCCCACTGCCACGTCCCCTCTGCACCACCCAACGGATCCCATTGGCCAGAACACGAAGACAAATCAACCCAGCGCCCAACCCAACCCAACCCCAATCTCAATTGAACCACGTGGAGCTCACCCGTACTTTAAAATAAGCTTTATTTAGATTTTTTATAATTTTTTTTTTGTTTGTTTGTTTGTAATATTTGCATCCATGCCTTCAAAGATCCTCCCCCCCCTTCATTGGGGGGGGGGGGAAAAAAAGTTAAATCTAAGGTTACCCATAATCCATACGCTATTTCCCGAAGTTCTCTCTTTTAAATAAATCATCCTCTTAGTAAGTTCTTTTTTTTTTTCTTTTTTTCTTTTTCTTTTTTTTTTTTTTTAGAATTATTTCCTAATTTACAAAATAAAAATTAAAAAAAAAAAAAAAAAGCTGAAATGCAAAAGGAAACTACTGGATACCGAGGGAGATCGCTCGTCTGCTTTCGTCGGCGGAGAGTTTAAATTATTTAAAAAAAAAAAATAAAAATAGAAAGAAATGCGAGGAGAAAAACAAAATGATTAAAAAAAGTCAATGTATTAAAAAAAAAAAAATATTAAAAAAAAAAAAAATCAGCTTTTCTGCAGAAAAGTTCTGCTTTTCCTCCCCGGCCCTCCCCACGGCATCACATGGGGGAACGCAGAGCGCGGGAGTGAATTTCTGCCATGTAAGACAAAATATTCCCCATTCAAACGGGGCGCGCGTCTCGGAGTTCAGAAAAATAAGACACTATTATAGCACTATTAAATAAATCTTCATACTTTGTTTTGCTTTCTTTTTTTTCCTCTTAAGAGCTTCCAATGACACCGCTGAGCGTTAAAGCATACAGGTTTGCGAGCTCGTCGTTAAGCGGAGCGCGGTTTCCAAGCGTCCCCCTTAAAATTGGCACTGCTCTACAGGGACGTTGCTTTCCCTTGGCCCCCCAGTGCCCCCCGTTTTAATGCCAGCAAAGGGCGAGCACCCCAAATCCACATTGGGAAGCTCCGAGGTCGCTGGGTTTTTCCAAGGCTTTAAGTGCTCCCACGCCGTCCCCGTTCCCCAACCCCTTCCACCTCCTCCCCAGCGACGTGGAAAAAAATATATATATAAAAAAAAAAAACGACGACACAAAAAAGAATTAAAAAAAAAAAAAACAAAAAAAAACCCCCAACATTTCTGTAATAATTTAGTTAGAATAGCTCCTCTCTGGGTTTGTGCAAATAAATTAAAAACGACACAAGGGAAAGGGGGGGAAAAAGAAACACAGATTCCAGAAGGCGTTACGACGAGCCCGTGTGCTGCCACCTCCTCGGGTGAATGCGATTTGGGTGAGTTTCGTTTCTTGGTTTTGCTTTCTTTTTCCATGTCTCTGAAGATGTTGGGGTCCCCTTCTCTGAAGTGGGGTCCCCACGCAGGACAGGCTCCAAAAAAAACAGCGGTTTCGGACAAGAGACGTCACAAGCACAAAGTGCACGAGATTCCCGTTATTTACAGACACACAGCAGTCCTTCAAGTTTCAAGTTTTGTCGAAAAGGAGGGAGGTTTGGGGAACGAAAACGAAAGAAACGAAAGAAAACAAGAAAAAAAAAATAATCCCCCAAATGACAAAAAATTAAAGAAGTGACGACAAAGGAAGAGTTACTGGAATGCTTAAAAAAATAAAATTGAAATACAAGGGGGGAAGGGTTGGGACAAAATTACACCGTGACTGGGTGTGCACACATGGGGGCTGTACATTGTTGGGGGCGAGGGGTCACCAGTCCGCATCCTCCTCGATGTAGTAGTCGGGGGCCGTGCCATCAAACAGCCCTGGGTCGAGGGATTTGCGCTGCTTGCCCCGAGCGAACACCCGTGAGATGGAACCAAAGCCCATCTTCTCCTTCTTCTTTTTCCGTTTTTGGTCCTCGAGGTCTTCCAGAGACTGCAGGGAGAGGAGGGGTGCAGGTGGTATGGCTGATCTTTGGGGTTTTGCTGGGGGATTTGTCACTCAGGTGTTGCCTGCATTGGGGCTGCGGGGTGTGGTGAGGCTCCCATGCATGAGGTAGGCAACCCATCCCCACTGTGTGCTCACTAAACTATGTCACAGAATCACCAGACCATGAAGGTTGGAGAAGACCTCCAAGATCATCAACACATCCCTACCATACCCACTGACTGTGTCCCCAAGTGGAATGATAGAACAATTAAGGTTGGAGAAGACCTCCAACACCATCAAGTCCAACCATCAACAGACCCTACAATGCCCACTGATCGTGTCCCCCAGATTGAATGATAGAATAATTAAGATTGGAGCAGACCTCCAAGACCATCAAGTCCAAACATCAACAGACCCTACCGTGCCCACTGATCATGTCCCCCAAATTGAATGATAGAATAATTAAGGTTGGAGAAGATCTCCAAGATCACCAAGTCCAACCATCAACCCATCCCCACCTTGCCCACTGATTGTATCTCTAGATAGAATCATGAAAGGTGGAGAAGGCTTCCAAGATCATTAAGTCCAACCATCAACCCAACCCCAAATAGAATGATAGAATAATTAAGGTTGGAGAAGACATCCAAGGTCATCAAATTCAACAATAAACCTATCCCCACCACGCCCACTGATCGTGTCCCTAAATAGAATCATTAAATTTGGAGAAAACCTCCAAGATCATCAAGTCCAACCATCAACCCATCCTGTCACGCTCACTGACCACATTCCCAACACATCTCCATGTTGAACACCTCTGGGGATGTTCAACACCACCAAGTACACAGAACCCAATGAATACTGAGGTCCAGGCCCTGAACTTTTGTATCTGAAGTCATTGGGAGACCCTACCACTTCCCACCCCAGGTTATCAGGAGTTTGGTTTCTCAGTGCCATCGCTATAGGATGTCAGCTACATGGCACAGCCACAGGGAGCCCTAGCTACCATCTGCATGAACACCCACAGCTTTTTAGGGTAAAACATTTAAGAATAACTCAATAATTCCATCGGTGCCTCTAGGTATCCCCAAAACCACTCTCTAGTGCAGGATGTGCTTTCGGGAGCAGGGTTTCCAGTGGATTGCAGCCCTACCTGTACGATGGGGTTGTGCAAGTTCTTCTGTACCGGTCCGGGGCTGTCCCCCTGCAGCAAGAAGGGAAACGGGTGATGTTGAAACAGCAGAAACACAACGTGGGCACCCTGCAGTACCTGGCTGCCCCTGGGACTTACATTGCAGAGCGAATGCGTCCGGTGTCGCGGCGAGTTGATGTCGCTCGGCGTGGACGATCGGTCGCCTTCTGCTGCTGATGCGTCGGAGATGATGGACGGCTGCCTGGAGTGGCAGGGGCTCACCCGGACTGCTGTGAGGCAATGGGGAGATGGGGGGTCAGCAGTGGCAAAGCTGGGGTGTAGGGCTGCCCCTCAGCGTGAGCGAAACCCTCATGCAAACACCAGATCCTGTGCAAGAAGCCAGCAATACCCCGGGGCGTAATTAAATCCCTATGCAAAACCCTGCAGTGCAAAACCCAAATCCACCAATAACCCAGGTGATCCTGCTCAAAAGCACAGCAACTCCCTGTGCGAAACCTGAACCTCTGTGCAAAACCCCAGTGCAAGACCTAAGCCTGTGCAAAACCAGTGTCTGTTCAAAAACACAACAGTTCCCAAACCCTTTACGCAAAACCTGAGCCTGCTGTGCAAAATCCCCAGTATGCCCTGTGCAAAACCCTGGGTTCTGTCCAAAACCCCAGCAACTCCTGGTGCAAAAAACCTAAACCCTTATGTGAAACTCCAGCCTGCTCTGCAAAACCTAAACCTGTGCAAAAAGTCTGATCCTGTTCAAAAAACGCACCTCCTTGTGCAAAACACCCCCAAGTATTCCCTGTGCAAAGGTTCTGTTCACAATCCCAGCAACCTCCTATGCAAAACCTAAACTCCCATGAAAAACCCCAGCCTGTTGTGCAAGGCCTAAACCTGTGCAAAACCCTTTGCAACCTCCCATGCACAACCTCAACCCCCATGCAGAGGCTCAGCAGTGCAATAAAACAAATGCGCCCTGTGCAAAACCCAGATCCTGCTCTACACCCCAGCAACCCCCCTGTGTAAAACCTAAACCCATAAAAACCCAAGCACCCCATGTGCAAGAAGGCTGACGCTGTCCTAAACCCCAGCAACCCCCTGTGCAAACCCAAACCCCTGTGCAAGACCCAGACCCATGCAAAACAAACAAGACCCCTCCATGCAAAACCACCGATCCCGTTCAAGATCCCAGCAACAACCCAAGCAAAAACAAAGCTGGTGGAGGTCTCACCTTGCCGGTCAGCCGAGTGTGCGGGGTGGGAGTGGTACAGGGTCTGCTGGCTCTGTCGGATGGCAGCAGTGAGTGGTAGGTCAGCTTGCAGCACCCACTCCTGGTTGCCATTCAGCACCGTCTCGCCTGGCATGGCCAAGGAATGGCGTTTGGGGACGTCCTTGGTCAGCGTGGCCAGGGATTGCTTGGCCTGTGGGGACACCGAAATCAATACTTGGATGCAATGCTGCAGCATTGGAGATAGCATTTGGATGCAATGCTGCAATGAACCCACGCAATGCAGCAGCAAACCCTAAAAATGCAATCTGGTGACAGTGCTCAAATGCAACACTGCGACTCCGCTCCATTCACCTCGATGCAACAAATGCTGAGCCCTGACCCAAACCAGGCATCCCCCACAGCTGGGAAATGCTGCAAGGCTGAACTCACCATGGCCAGCTCGGCCTCCAGCTCCTTCATTCTGTTGTCTTTGAGGTCAAGCTGGGAACGCAGGGCGCTGGCGTGGTCGGTGGCTTCCTTGGCTTGCCGCCGCAGCTCCCATTTCTCCCGTTCCAGCAGGTCCTTCTCCTTGGCCAGGGCTTTCACTGCATCCTCACTCTCCTGGTGCAACACAGGGAAGGTGTTGAGACAGGGAATGGCCAAAATTTCCTCCTTCCTGGCCCTCCCTGCAGGTACCGCGTCCCAAAACGGGATGCCTGTGCACCAAAATGGGATCCTTGTGTCCAAGATGGGACACCTGTATCCCAAAATGGGACGCCTGTGTCCCAAATCGAGATGCCTGCGCCCAAAACTGGACGCCTGTGCCTCAAAATGGGATGTCTGTATCCCAAAATTGGACACCTGTGCTCCAATCTGAGCACCTGTGCCCCAAAATGGGATGCCCGTGCCCCAAAATGAAACGCCTGTGCCCCAAACTGGATATCCATGCCCCAAAATGGGATGCCCGTGCCCTAAAATGAGACATTTGCGCCCCAAACAGGATGCAAGCACCGTGTCCCAAAGCTGGAGAGCACTGCCAGCACCTCACTCCATGCTCCTTGCTTTTTTTCTGTGCACTGACGATTGTAATGACTTCCTCGTGGCAGGGGAAAAAATGTCCCCGTGGCTGCCCCAGCTAACCCAGAGCTGGCTGTGAGCGCTGCTCCTATGGCACCAGCCTTCAAAAATAGCAAATTTCTCCCTTTGCATGGAAAAAAGCCCAGAATAGCTGTGGGAGCTGAGTTCCCACGCTCGCTCGTGCCTGCGGATGGCAGAACCGCGAGCACAACAGGAAGCCTTGCTGCAACCCCCCAGCTTTCCATCCCGAAAGCATCCCAAAAATGCTCTTTATTACAGAGCAACTGTTTGTGTGTGTGCTCTGCACGCTCCAACCTTGCAGGCACACTGGGAGCAAGCTGCCTTAGGGCTTTGGCTAGCAAAAGGGAGCAGTTAAATGGGGCTGCCTGGAGATATGGTGGTGACGCCCTGCAGACACCCAAGGTCAGGCTGGAGGGGTTCTGAGCACAGACAGAGCTGTGGGTGTCCCTGTGCACTGCAGGGCGATTGGCCCAGATGGCCTTTAGGGTCGACCCCAAAGAAATCCAACCTGAAGCCCCAAAGGAAGAGAAGCCACGCTCTCACCTTCCGGTGCTGCTCGTAGTTGCGGATGAAGTCGCGGAGCTGCTCCTCGCGGCTCTCCAGCGTGGCGTAGAGCTGCTGCATTTGGCTCACCAGGTCTGTTTTCTCCGCCTTCAAGCGCTTGCGGTCGGCTTTCATGGCTGTAAAGAGAGCAGTGGGGTAACCCGGGTCCCCAGCATCACCACCTTCTGTAGGGTTGGCTTCCTGCTGCTGCGTTCCACCACACCATAAGGTCAGACTACATGATCCTAGAGGTTTTCTCCAACCTTAATGACTCTACGATCACATTTGTAGAATCACATCACAGAATGGCCTGGGCTGCAGAGGAGCACAGCGCTCATCCATTTCCAACCCAACAGGTGTGCAGGGTCACTAACCAGCAGCCCAGGCTGCCCAGAGCCACATCCAGCCTGGCCTTGAATTCCTCCATGGATGGGGCATCCACAGCCTCCTAGGACAACCTGTTCCAATGCATCATCACCCTCTGTGTGAAAAACTTCCTCCTAATCTCTAACCTAAGCCTTCCCTAATCACATTCATGTGATTCCAAATGGAAGAACTACCAGCCCTGCACAGGAGGGATGCACAAACCCATCGTGTCGCATTAACATTCACTTAATTTCTCCTGTTTCTCCATCCCAACCATGAAATCCAATGTTGTCACTGTGACTAACCCATAAAATTGGGCAGCCTTGCGTGGGGATCTTTGCTCCGTAATTAAATACACACTCATTGAGCCCGGCCTTTGACACCTGCACGCAGCATCTTGCTGGCACTCTGCAGCCAGCATCTGCCCATGCAGAAATGGGACATCCCAGTGCAACACTGGCTTTTAGGAAAAGCGTTTCCATGGGAGATTCTGCCTTGGAGGAATTTGCCTGGAAACGCCCCGGCAGGAAGCCAAAGGCTTTCCAAACCAAACCAGACCCAAATGGGCAACAAGGAGGTGGTCACTGCCTTATGTTGGGATGTTAAGGGTCTTCTTCAGGTCCTTGACCATGGTCATCTACCTCCATATCTCCTGGGAACCCCACATCCATCCTTATCTACCAGATTCACCTCCATCTCCTGGGGGATCCCGTATCCACCTCCATCTCCTGGGGGATCCCTTATCTACCCTTATCTTCTGAGGGACACCAGATCTAACTCCATCTCCTGGGGACCCCACCTCCACCCTTATCTGCTGGGGGACCCAGTATCCACCCCCATTTCCTGGGGGGACCCCCCATCCACCTCCACCTCATGGGGACCCCATTTCCACTTCTATCTGATGGGGGACCCCAGATCCACCTCCACCTCCTGGAGACCCCATATCCACCCTCACCTGCTGGGGGACCCCAGATCCCCCCCACTCCACCTCACAGGATTCCCCAGGACATCACATGATTCTATCCTGGACATTCTGCTATCACAAAATAAGGCCCAAAGGACAGAACCAGCCCAGAGGAAGGAGCTGCAACACAACATCCCGCTCTGAGCTGCATCCCACACCACACCAGTTCTTTGCTGGGAGATGTAAACGGCTGCACGACGGCAGCAGGAAGAGCTGCTCTCCTCTCCCTTCCGCAGCAGGAAGGGCTCGTTGGCGTGGGACAACCCAGGAAGGCATTTCCCTACAGATTGAGGCTCCACTCATGCCTCTCCAACCCCAAACCAGACCCTTATGGAGGTGCTGGGATGCCATAGAGGCTGGATCCTCCCCTCCCCTCCCTCACCCTCTGCCTCCACAGTGCTTCCAGGCTCTCAGCCAAGCATGGCAGCGGATTTCCCTAACGTTTCCCTACAATTTCCCCATCACTTGCCTGCTAAGAACACAGCGTGCATGCAGCCAGCAGGGAGGATGCTGCAGCCGTGCGTGGGGACAGGAGCCTGAGATCCTGCAGCCGAGCAGAGCCTGGCCACGTTCCCATCAGCACCATTCCCCAAATGTAGGGTTTTTTTTTGTTTTTTTTTCTTTTCCTTTTTTCTTTTTCTGGTGCTGCTGCCCTTTTTGTTTTTGGCAGGAGTTTTCATGGGAAGGAAAAAGGATTTCTGCAGCGTCCCGTAAGCGCTGCCGCCCAGCCCGTGGGGATGGATCCAGCACCGTGGGCTTTGCCAAAGGACGGGAAAAGGCTTCCAAGGTTGGAAGGAGGGAGGAGGAAGGGATGTGAATGGGCTGTTGGCTGAGCTGCTCACAAGTGTGAGTCGAGATTCCCTCGCCCCATCCCTCACACCTGCAAGGAAGTCCTGCAAAACAAATCCCAGTGGCTTCTATGGCTGACCAGTAAGAGCCCAACTGAAAGAAAGCAAAGCATCACCATATTCTAGAAGCATTCGTGATTCTCAAACCATTATGGCAGAGCAGTGGAAAGCTTGCTGCTCAGTTTTGGCTTTTTGCATACAACTACACCACAATTTCCCATGGAGAGGGGGCAAGCCATCCTGCTCAAACAGCCCACAAGAACCATTTCCAACCCTTGGAACGTAGCAAAAACTCTAAAAAAAAGCCTCTTTGTTTTATTTGCACACCATCAAAGAGCAATAAAATTGAAAACACACAGACCAGGGATGACTTTTCTTTTCCCTTCCCTTTTCTTTTTCCTTCCTTTTCCTTTCCTTTCCCTCTTTTTTCCTTCCCTTATCTTTTCCCTTTACCTTCCTTTTCCCTTTTCCTTCCCTTCCTTCTCCTTCCCTTCCTTTTCCCTTACCATTTCCCTTTCCCTTCTCTTCCCTTCCTTCTCCTTCCCTTCCTTTTCCCTTACCATTTCCCTTTCCCTTCTCTTCCCTTCCCCACAGCCCCACACAGTGCCCCCACCCTGGGTACCACACCATCCAGCCTTCACTTACTCCAGTTTATTCACCAAGAAGTGCTTTTTGGAGGAGGAAAGCCTCCAACATCATGTTCTGTCCTGCAACACAACCCTTCAGCAAGCTCCATGCAGGAGGATCACACAATCACAGAATTGTAGGGGTTGGAAGGGACCTCCAGAGATCATCGAGTCCAACCCCCCCCCCAAAGCAGGTTCCCTACACCAGCACAATGCATGCATCACCAAGCAATGCTCTGCCTCCTTCCCCAATGGCTCCAAGGAGCTCAAACCTGAACCAAACCCATCTAATCATACTTTCCATCTGCATTTCAGCTCAGTTTTGCTCTGTACGACAACGACTTTGCGCCCGACGTGCCCAATTTCCCAGCCTGCTGGGGATGCTCTGCTTGTACACCCAACCTCACCCCACAAAAACACATCACCTCACCACACAAATCCCTCACCCAAATAAAAGGGATAGCTTTTCCTTCCCTCGCTAATTAATTTGCTCTGGGGTTATGGGATGCGTGGAATAAAGCCCTAGAGGGAAAGGCAGCCCTTACCCTGCAGAGCCTCCTTGGCCCGTGCCAGCTCCTGCTCCTTCTGTGCCAGCTGCACCTTGAGCTCAGTGGCCGACAGCACCTCGGGGGATTTGCTGCCATGTGTCTCCTCCAGCTCCTTCGTTAGCATCTCCTTCATTTGCCGGAGCAGGTGCACCTCCTCCTGCAGCTGGGCCACCTCCTCTCTCAGCAGTGCTGGGGAGACAGAATCAACAAGTGAACAGGAGCCATAAAACCAATGCCTGCACTGTGTGGGTCCTTCCCCCACCGTTTGGTCTCGCAGTACGGGAATTTGGGGCTTATTTTGGGAAGAAACAGCCCCTGCCCTACCTGCACTGCTGCCTCCCACCTTCCCTATAGATGCAGAATAAATGGGGCAGAGCCAGCATAGTGCTGGTCCCCCATCCCTGAGCCAGCAGCTGCTCCGGGAAGGCATAAAATCTGCTTTGCATACTTGAAATGCTTCCCTTATGAAAACTGGCAAGGCCTCCTTCTGTAAATTATTTAGCAATAAAGTCACTAACGAGGAACATTCGAGCTGTGGGCTGGGGATTTCATTAAAGTCCAGAGTGCTTTCTTGAAATTCTCACAAAAAGCTCGGATAAATTGGTGTCCGAGAGCACAGCTCAGCTCTGCCCATGTTTCCATTTCCCAAGGGGCAGGAGAAATTCAGATTTTTGGCCTCCAGCACGTGGGAAATCAAGGCAAATGCACCGGGTCCATGCAGTGCAAGCAAAGCCTGGCTGAGCAGACACACAATGTGTGCACTGCCAAAGGCCATCGGTACAAAACTGAGTGCCTGGCTGTGGTGCGAAGCTTCCCTCCTGCACACAGACCTGCCTCCCCAAACCCCATCAAAATCCCCTTTCCCCCACTTCTGCACACGACCATTCCCATGTCCTTACCACCCCAAATGCCACAAAAATCCCATTTCTGCAAGCAACCAACCACACAACTCCATTGCCATCCATTCTTTCTCCTCCCATGCCCACCCCAGCCCACCTTGTGCTGTTTCTCCCCTCTCACATCCACAGCCATCAGCCCCATGGCCAATGATTAACCACACACAACCAGCTCCTCTGCAAGCCGTGCTATCAGCTAATTAAATCCCCATCAGGATTCATTTGGTGCCTACTGCATCCCCACTTGCATATGGGCAATGCTGGTCCAATCATCCCAACTGAAGGTCTTAGGTTGGAATCATAGAATGGTCTGGGTTGAAAAGGACCACAGTGATCATCCAGTTTCAACCCCCCTGTTACGTACAGGGTCACAGATGTACAGTGAGGTCTATGAGATTCTACAGGTCCTATCTAGGATGCAATAAATACATGAGGCCAAATCAGTGTGCTTGGCAAGCAACAAACCTTAAATCTTCAACATCTTTTTATGCTTATTAACTTCTTACCTTTTTTTTAGAGAACTTTTTGAACTCCTTGTTTTATTGCTAAAAAAGTGTCTTTTCTACAGAGATGCACAGTTGGTGGGAGAGAAGGAACCCAAAACATGGCAAGGATGGTTCACCCAAGGGCATTTAATACCTACCCATCTACCTGCATCTATCCACCTCTACCCAATGGTACAACGTACAACCCAGCTATCTATCTCCATTTGTCCATCTAATGGTGTCTCTACACATGGACCAAAGTGCAACTCATAAACTGAAGGTTTTGGGGGATAAATCCTGTATCTCTTGCTATGCTCAAGCAAGTCATGCTGGGAGCTGCACGGATGCTGGGAGAAACCTTTCAGCAGGAAATAAACCAAACCCCCATGCTCTACGTCCAGCTTAAGCATCTCAATGAATGTTCCACGTCCCCATATGCCACTGGGAGCAGCTTACAACCCCACCAGGAGATGCTGCCCCAGACCCAACCGCACACCATCCATCTCTGCCTGCATCCAAACCAGCTCAGATTCAACCCAAGGTGCTGGAAGGATCCCACCCCCTTCTTTACAGCATCACAGGATCTTCTGTTTCACCTCCCTGTGGCCAAACCCCAGTGCAAAAAGCTCCCACAACGCATTTTTCCTTTTTTAACCCTATTTTTTTTTTGCCCTCTTCCCTTTTCGCTTCACTGGCTGGGCTCATCCCCACCCCATAACGAAGCACCGCAATTAATGGGGATGGAAGGAGCTCCCTCCTCGCACCCAGAGCAGCCAGAAATCGACGCCACTTAAACGTTTCCTAATTGACAAAAAACTGCCATTCGCACACTTAAATAATTGGCTGTTAATTATATTTTAGCTGATAGCATTCCACATCCACGACCCCGCCGCATTCTCCACCCTTAACGCTCTGAGCACCGATTAACGTGCTGACAGACAATGCAAATAATCACAGAGATCATTATTATTATTACTTTTAAAAATATTATTAATAATTTTCATTTAATTTTTGGAAGCATCCGTGGCGAACGCCTCTAATGCAGCGCTTGGGCACGGCTGCTTTTTAAACCCAAGCATCAATTTAAACGTTTCCTGGACTCGCTGATGAAAACCTAGACAATAATTAGCTGTTAATTCTACCTCAGCTGATAGCAACAAACTTCCAAGGTGCTGTCAGACCTCCATACGTGCACACACATGGGTGCATCTCCCCCTGGGATGGTATCAGAATGGTATCAGAGAAAAGCAGGGATTTAAGGACTTAGGGATGAGTCAAACTCATACTTGAAGAGCACCCCATGATGGTTCTGGTTTGGTCTGATTTTGGGTACCTGGGGAAGGTTCACACCAAAGCAGCCCTGGTGTGGGAAACATCCATGTGTGTCGTCCCCCCCCTCTCCCCCCCCTCCAACAGGCAATAAAATGGGGGAAAGCCACCAAATTTCCAGGCTACGTTCCTTTGGAGAGCCCCAAACACACTCTGACCTACAGAAGGACCCCAATGCCTGTGCAAACCCATCGTTCCCATCCCCATCTTGCCATTGGGACAGCTCCAAACCTCCCCCATAGCAGCACTGCCTTCCTGCTGGGATAATCCTGAGGATGTGGCACTTTGCAGAGCCCATCCGCGACCACTGGGGCACCTCCAGTACTGGGATATAACCCAAACCCTACTAACAGCCACACAGCACAGGCAGGAGGGGAGGGCAGGAGGATGGAGGGGGTGGCACTGCTGTGATCCCCCCCCCCTGGGGGTACAAGGGGAGGGGGGGGAAACCCACAGAGCATTGGGGAAGAGCAGAGAGTCGGCGAGGGTTTGGTTTTTGTTTCCTCCTGCAGGGAGCGAAAGGAAGCAGGCAGAAAACAAACAAGGGAAAACGCGGAGAGGGACGGGATAGAAAGCAGCGCGGAAGAACGGCCGAGAGAAAGAAGATTAAAAGCAATCACAAAAATAAGAAATAACAACAAACAGCCCTGAAAACCAAGCGGGGACGCCTGGCGGAACCCCTCCTCCCCCTCTCCCCCCCACTTCCCTGCCCCATCTCTGAGCTCTTACCCGTGGGATTCCAGCCAGCTCGTCCCACGTTCCCCTGCGTTCCCCCGCTCCCTGCTGCTGTCCCCTTCCTTGTCCCCACTCCCTGCTGCATGGCGGCCATGCAGGGCCCCGCTGGGCTCCAGCCTGATGTCACCCGCCGGAGGAGTGGCTTGTCCTGGCTGGGTAGGAATGCAAAGGAAGCAAAAAGGAACCCGAAAGGAGGCGGAAAGAAGCGCTGGGTGGGGAAACTGAGGCACGGGAAGGCACGGCGCCTGTCGTTTCATGCAATGGGAGGCATGTGTGGTTGATTTTCTGTTGTGCAGTGCTGTTTTATTCCATCAGTCTGGCTTGTGAGCTGCTTCGTGCTGAAGCTGAATGCTGGAGTATAGGAAGGGTCTGAAGCAACGCTTCTTGTGCTGCTGCTGGAAATGAAACAGGGAAATGAACCCTGGGACACCAGCACCTTTGTTAGGGACATGCTCAGCAGGCATGGTGGGGGTGGGATGATGGTTGGAGAAGTCATTTCCAACCTGAATGATTCCACGATACAAGGCTGGGCTGAAAAGCCCAACCTCCACCTGCTCCTGCAGCCCTGCACAACTGGGGTCACCATGAACTTGAGCCTCAGCACTGTTCATCCCCCAAGGGCTGATCCTCCGGGACCACTGCAGGACAGCAGCTGATGAAATGCAGTTACAACACGGGGGCATAGGCAGGGCTGTCAGGGGAAAACCCAGTGCTGGTTTCAGTTTCTTTTCCTGTTGGATTACATTGCTTCAAGTAAAAGCATCAAGGAGAGGTTTCAAAACAAGAGTTGCTTGCTTTTCCTTTTGGTAACTCATCTTTTCTCTTGCAGGAACCCGGCTCTGCTTGCTGCCTGCAAGGATTTCATGCTCCTGAACCACAGAATTATGAATGCTGGAGAAGTCCTTTGAGATCACCAAATCCAACCCCAGCCCCTCGTGCCCATGTCCCTCAGTGCCACATCCCCACAGTGAACACCTCCAGGGATGGAGACCCCTCCACTCCCTGTGCCAACACATCACTGCTCTTCTGGAGAAGAAATTTCCCCAACCTGATGGCTTTGCAACCATTGCTCAGAGAACAACAACAACAAAAAAATCCAAACCTTGCCTTCCATAGAATCATTCAGGTTGGAAAAGAGCACGAAGATCATCAAATCCAACCATCAACCCAACACCACCGTGCCATGAAACCACGTCATTCAGTGGAACATCTTTGTCACATCCCTACCCAGGACATAAACACTGGACCTTTCCCTCCTTAAAAACAAAAAAGACAACTAAAATCGTAAAATCCATGTAAAGAGACAAAAAGCAGCTTTTACCCCCAGCCCTCCCCACTGACATTCACTTGTAGAACTCCTCGTTACAGCACTGGTGACTGCAGAGCACAAACATCATGGTGTCACTGCACAACTTCAGCTCCATTTGTGCTGTTTCCTGAACTCATCACACTTCTTGTTGTTTTTTTTTTTCTTATTTTTTTTTCTATCACGAGAATTATGGCTGTTATCACAGAATGTTGTGCCTAACGACTTCTGGCTTCCTTCGGATGTTTTCATTCAGCTGCTAAAACGCTGTAATGACACTGAGATAATGGCCCGCAGAAATAAATGATACAGATCATAATAGAAGGGATTTGGTTAAAGCAAAAAAGAAAACAAACAGAAATTATCCATCCTAATTAGCATTCACAGACAGCAACTGGGGAAGGAAGGCAGGAAAGAAAGAAATCAAAGAGTTGTTAAGGTTGGAATAGACCTTTACGATCATCAGATCCAACTGTCAACTCATCACCACCATGCTCACTAACCATGTCAGAGAATCACAGAACCACGGAATCGTTAAGGTTGGAAAAGACTTCTAAGACCATCAAGTCCAACTGTCAACTCATCACCAACCACACCATTAAACCATGTCACAGAATCACAGAATCGTTGGAAAAGACTTCTAAGATCATCAAGTCCAACTGTCAACTCATCACCAACATGCCAATTAACTATGTCAGAGAATCACAGAACCACAGAATTGTTAAGGTTGGAAAAGACCTCTAAGATCATCAAGTCCAGCTGTCAACTCATCACCAACCACGCCAACTACACCATGTCACCGAATCACAGTTAGAAAAGACCTTAGGAGATCATCAAGTCCAACTGTCAACCCATCATCACCATGCCCACTACCCATGTCACTAAATCACAGAACTACAGAATCGTTAAGATTGGAAAAGACCTCTAACACCATCAAGTGCAACCAGCAACCAGCACTTCCTCGGGCATGTTTTTTGGTAGGTCGTGTTGTGGGATCTATCAGAGCCCAAATCAGCAGCATGGCCATATGAGGATAGAAAGTGGCCATTGCAACAGCACGTCTTGCAGCCCCTGTGCTGGCAAATAGTTCATTGCAGCCTTCCAACAAACTGCACCTGCTGCAGGGACCGAGATGCTCTAAAACTGCTCTAAGCCCCCAAAATTAATATTTGCCTTTTAAAGATAACTGGTGGGGAAACAGCACGGCCAATATAGATTCAACATGACTCTGGGTTTTCCATTATTCATTGAATCTCACCCCACGCCGTGCTGCAGTGCATACATTACCATATATGATGACAAAGAAATTGCACGACTCCTGCAAAGAGGCGATAAAGCAGCCGCCTCGGCTGCCCAACCACCATGCTGACAGGCCATCTCTAATAAGCAACGTGTAATTAAGTCTCTACACACTGAGGCTGTGCTCTTGTGAATGTCTGCATGGGACCGGTTGCGTGCATGGAAGTGGCAGAACAGAACAACACCTGCAGAGCTGAACCACTGCACACGTATGCAAAGATGGGCCCCCCTTCCAGAATGCACCAGGCTCATTTGCATCCTCCACTGCATCTGCGATTTTAATGGGGTTGAAGGTCGGCAGCTCAACTCCAAATACGGATGCTACTAACCAGATGTTGTTGCTTTTTTAAGGTGGTTTTTCTTTTTTTTTTTTTTAAGTAATATATTTCATTTAGCCTCTAGAAAGTTTCAAATAAACAATTCTAGCGATCCCTCTTCATTATCCACGTCAGCACAGCTTGATGATCCTTGGGGCCCCTTCCTACCACGCATGGGGTGGGAGTCCAGCACAAATACCCTTGACAACACCAACTCTGGCTGCAACCCCTTATCATCTTGGGGCCAGATGTTGCAGCTGGGTGCAGACCCAACACAAACAATGGGGTAGCCATGTTCCTCCCAGCAGGATACAGAATCATAGAATCGTTAAGGTTGGAAAAGATCACTAAGATCACCAGGTCACCAAGTCCAATCATCAGGTCACTCAGGATAACCATCAGGTCACCCAATCCAGCCACCAGGTCACCAAGCCCAACCATCAGGTCACCCAGTCCAACCATCAGGTCATCCAGTCCAACCATCAGGTCACCAAGCCCAACTATCAGGTCACC